GCTTCAAACGTTGGATTGTCATCTAACAGAGTACTGAATCATGATATCCACTCCTTATCAATTCGTTCCAACCAACGACTGGAACTTACACATTATAACATGATCACCCCTCAGTTCATGTATAAATCGCACAAAGTATCTAACATAGAAACTGTTTCTCAAAATGTCTCGTAGTCCAGCCCTTTGTATTGTCTAGATAGATTTTCCGACTGTATTTGTTCAATATTCAATCAGAAAGGACAACTTCATTAGTCGATCTCTCTTTCCATCTTACTAAGCTAGTTCTCAGAACTATCACTCATACCTATCCTCTTGTATAATTTTGTGATTGCGTGTTTTGCGGTAGCTGAGATTTTATTTCCACTTTTTTATCTAACGAGGGTCTTTATACCATACTTGATGTGGCTTACATGTTTTGTGCTATATTACGCTAAACCAGCCTCAGTCAGAACAACATCACTCAATGGGATGCATGTACATCCAGCTGATGGGCCCCGAATAGAACAAAATGCCCATCCTGGATTAATCTACTAGTCACCTAGCTCAATACGAGTTAAATTATTCCAGTAGAGGATATAGAAAACATCACGAGTGAGCCATGTGAAAAAATAGCAAAGATTGTACAACTCAAAATAAATGTTTACTTATGTGTTACAGAAGATAAACACTCAGTAATGTGAAGGAAATCAATTTCATCAGTAAAACAGACAACACTGAATTATCTCTGATGATTCATGCAAAACTGCTTGCATGCAACTTCGAAGAAAGTAACAAAATACAATGAATTCATCTGATTCTTGACAACCATGGTACGCACCTAAGAATAAAGTGCCAGTTGAAAAAATTCTAAGGTTTTATCGGTCTTAATTTTTTACATTTTGTGTCTGAGCTCTATGTCATATAATACAGAGTGGAAGTACATTGAAATATCATTTATTTGCATAAATCATTTAAGTAATATCGTCTTTCTGTCTTAGGTAACCAGCGTAGTATAAATCAGTGACTGACGATCTGAAGTGACATAGACTTCAAATGATTCAATAATATCTGCTTGATTTCACTATGCGCCTTGATTTGCGAAACTTATTTATCGGGCACTTTCTTTCGATCCACTGACCTAGGCGTGTCATGAGCAACTGAAATTTCTTTTTTAAAGTCAGCCTACTTGTTAGTAGTTCGTTAAAATTTGTAAAATATTCACCACATTCAAAGTTTCCCCTGACATACATGTAGATTTTGGTTATTCCTCCTCACACACAAATAATAAACTAGTTTCAAAATAACATTAGTAACAGTAACAGAAGTAGCTGGATCATAGTTGCAGAGGAAACTGACACAAAACTGTCACTTGTGATAGTCGTAACTTTGTTAGTCAATTTTCAGGCTAGTTTTCTTCATTTTGAAAATAGTAACGAAACTTTTCATATGTCACTAATCCATCTAATTCCATTTAACTTTCAAAAACATGTACTTCTTATCGGGCAATCTTCAGAACGGAGACTGATTTTCATATATTTAACTTGCATGATTTTTCAACTGATTTCAAAATACTTCTTAACTTATTAAACCGGGAAGCATATTCATATGAAACTGACTAGCTGACAAAATCAACGTAGAACCTCGCAACCAAGTGCACTCGCTCAAGCTGCCACACCTCACAGTAGTATAGAAAGAGCAGGTGGATAGGAAAACAATAATATTAAAGCAGAAGAAGTTGTGTGAAAAGAAATGCGACCAGAAGATAAAGGCACGTACGAATATTCGAACTTTAGAAGATGTAGAGGAGTAAATACATCTGCGCCATTGTGACCAATTTTTAGCCATGTCACCAAGAGTCCTCAACCACTGATTCCTTTCGTCTTGGGGACCCCAACCAGATAGTCTACATCACCCAACACTATTCAGTTAGGGACTCGATTGACTGGTGTCAGGTTTCGGTGTGACCACTCTGAACTCTCTTCCAACCTAATCTAGCTTCCCTTAAGATGACACGTCGAGACAAACGGTCTCTCAGCATGCACAGTACACAGTACATGTGCAAGCCATCTCAGTCAACTTAGGTTCATAATCTCTTCAATCGACTTGTCTGTCTTGTCGAGTACCCTTTACCTGACCTCAACATTGCTCAAATCGTGATTTCACCAAACGTGAGCAATGCTATGAAGACACGTGTGATCAAAACCCTTCAATCACTCCATGTTTTCTACCTTCAACGAGCATATTGTACAGCCGTATGATAGGAGAGGACGGACTGGAGAGCAGTGTATTCGTCTTTTGTTATTTAGTCGGATATCTGGCTAGTTGGCGCCAGAGATGACGCAAGTTGGGAAATGCCAAATGGGCCTTGTGTATGTGAGGTGGTATTTTGTCAGCAACCAGCTTGTTCAGGTTGATGTAACTTGCCAAGTAAGTGAAATGAGACATATTTTGCCACTTCACTCCTTATCAGTAAACTGGGAGGGAGTATTTGCAGTAGACCAATCCTGGAGCATCATAGATTTGAGAGATGCCAGTAAAAGGCATACTAAGGATATCCAGATTTCTGTTCAAGGCGTTCAGAATACCCAGCATTGTCAGTGTCTTCACCCAGCAGGAAGATATCGTCTGCATACTCCAATTCAGCCAGACACACTCCAAGGAGCAGGTCAGTCCATGTGAAGTCAACTAAGGGGTATTTGAAGTTATTTTTATGGACACATCTATGACGAAAATGAATTGGAACGGTGATAGCGGGGATCTCTGATGGACACTAGTTGTCGTCAACTCAGATAACAACTCTCCATAAACTCTTATACGATTGAGTGAGTTTGAATAGAGAGCTTTGGCTAGCGTTATGTGTACGTGCTCGGTACTTCTTTCACAGTCAGTCAGCTTGATGTACCAGTTTCCACTTATCGTTTTTTATGACCTATCGTAAGCTGTTAACATTCATTTCATCTTTCGAATCTGACATCTTGTTTCAGTCTTAGCTCTGATTACTAGACGAGTCTGTAGATTCTTTATTTCACAAGTATATCTTGAAGATTCATAAAGCTCTTCATTTTTAGAAGAGAAAGTAACGTACTGAATTATCATTTCGTTAGTGCAGTGTATTAAGAGAGAATAGATGGGTGATTGTGAAGTCGCGGCATTTATAAGATTTCCTGGTGTTGATTATTGCGACTGAAGGGACCCCTGTAAAGTGTGGTTTAATTGGTTTATTTGACATTTTTTCTTGTTTCACTGCCACTGTTTTTTAATGATCGACGTTGATATACCACTAAACTGACAAGAATAGTTAGTCACTCATGAAATTGTTACACAGTATGTGATAGAAAATCATCGGTAGAAATTACCTGATATATTTTCGCTGTTTAATTCGACTGTAGAAAGTCACTCTGTTAGTGGAATATACCGCTTATCTCACTGGTACTGTATGGTTTTATTTTTACTTAGGTGATTGTTACTGATTTAACTAGGTGATGGGACTGGATTTTCACTCTAACAGTGTTTAAAATACTTTTCCCTTGAAACCCACTTCACCTAAAATATTAACCAGTACGCGAGAAAGGAAAACGGGAAATGCTCTGTAACTATTGCATCTACTTTTTATTTACATTTAAAGGACCTGAAGAGACTGACAAGTTTGCTGAATCAAAACATTCTGATACTAATGTGTCTGAGATTCTGATGTCATCTCTTCTGAGTCTCCTGAGGAACAGTGCAGTTCGTTTCGAATTAACTTCGTATATATTAGTGAACTGAACACTGAAGGTTGTAAAAGAAGGGGCAGCACTTGATTATACGCTGTGAGTTCCTGCAGAATTCTCTCAGCTATTGTTAAGAATATTTGTTAAATCCTCTTAGTAAACCCTTTATACCAAAATTCATCTGGTGGAAGTCCAAACTGTCTTTTTTGCGCCTTCCTCACCTTGTGTATCAACCAACAATTCGTACCCCTATTTTTATACTTTTCTGATTGAAATATGGATTCCTCAGTTCATTGGGGTCTTCTGCTTTGCGCTAACCGAGCCAGTTTTGAAATATCGTATTTCATTCACTATTGTCCGTAATCTGTCATATCCCCAAATCGTAACAGTAGCGACAAGGTGTGGTCGAAAATGTAAAGTGAAGTCCACAAATCTAATTTTTTAGCAGTTACATGGAACGTTTTTGCCTCTATGCACTAATCGAAAGTCGATAGATTTCCCAAAATGTTTCAATCCATTTCGATATAGATAAAAATATGATTTGACTTTCACATTTGGTGAGACTAAGAACAGACATTTACTAGTGATATCATCACATAACTATGAAGTATATGCCTTGTTGACTGAAGTAAAATCAAAGCCTGATTATCAGCTGTGGCATCTTATGATTTAAGTTCATCATACTTATTCTGATTAACATCACTGGTACGAAAAGAACTCATTATTTCACAAGTAATTGCCATATATTGTCGATTGATGAGAATGACAGAAAGAAATGAAGAATTCGTGGAGGTTGATGTAATAAGGATTACATTCCAGAGGTTAGGTGTCTGTTCTAAAACGCTAATTATCTTGTTTTAAGTGAACACTACTGAAAAGCCTTATACCAGGATAGAACAGTTGTCTAATACTCTCGGAATGACAATGATATTTCAGCGGATTCAAACTTCAGTGTAAAATATCTTCTATATCACAAAATCAGATATTGGATAGAATAAGATTCTAATAAACACAAACAACCATAAAACACTAATCATATAGTTCTACTGAGAACCAGATATTCATATATCCTAGTTAATATAGCAGTATTCAGTGTGTATAACCAATTCAACCCGCATGCATAATTTAATCTGCTAATAAACCTTTATAGACTTACAAACCCTTAAGCGATAAGTGCATACGGGTAAAACTTTCATGTACATTAATCTTTACCCAATACATTTGGACTGTCTAATCGATGGATCGTGCTTTACGTCTTCTTGAATCACCTAATATATCTTTCCTATCATAAACCATATCTCACTACCTAAAGAAAAAACTACGCATGTATATATGCCTGAAAAAATGTTTACTCTTTTGCATATTTCCCTATCAACACTTGTAGTATCAAATGTCCTCTAAACTTTTATTTGCTTATTACTTTATTCTCTTCTATGTAGGTATTAGCCTACTCTGCATCAATGTATGCAATGGAAAAGATGATTATGATCAAATTGAAACAACATACAAAACCTCTATGGAAGAAGAAATAATCAAAGCACCATTAAGTTTTATACCAGGTAGGAAATTAATTTCAATTAAGTATTTTATTAGTGAGTATCAGGTTATTTTTTATCTTAGTTCTTTAAGTGTTCAATAAATAATGTATGATACTTAAGGCAAAGGAAAATATTTTTAGCTCAAAATGAGAATAATGACCGTTTAATATTCTCTCAGCTTTGATATTTTGTTGTGGACGTTTCATCACCAAGCCTAAAGATGAAGCCTCCACGATAAAATATCTAAGGTTAAAGAACACCAAATCACCGTCATACATGATCCTTATTCCTACTCCATATTTCTTAAAACACCCTAGGAATACAGAGTGAAATAAAATGCCAAACTTTCTTATCAAAAGCCAATTTTTTGAAAATAGTACAATAGAAACAAGGTAGGTGCTGATGAATACCTCCTCTCAAAAGGAAGATTGAATTTAAAGGTCTAAAACTGACACCGAAATTTCAAAACTATGACAAAGTCAAGAAGTTCATATATTAAAATCTTTTCCCTGATTTAAATGATAATAATTCCTATTATTATAGACCAGATAAACCAATTAAATGTTTGGAAAGATATATATCAAAAGTCAGGTCTTCAGATCTTATTATCTCAGAGTGCTTTAATTTCTGGAGAGGTACTACTTTTGTTGTAATTTGCTCGGATTTGGCTAACAATAGGACCCAGGACGTGTGTTTCGACCTATTCGGGACTCGACAGCTGGATATACCTGCAACCCACTGAGTGATATTTTCCTAATCAGATTTGAACACAGGACCTCTCACTTCTAACGCCAGAATGTTATTTACTAGGCCACTGGGGGACGACGACCACCTGTTGAGCAACCGGTATCAGTATCATCAATCAAATTAAGATATGATCAGTAGCCAGGGAATATCAGTGCATCCATATAGGAGCCCATACTCCCAGAAAGGTTCACCAGTTCAGTCCAGAATAACTACTATAAATTAAAGCATTAGCAAATAGTAATTTCTACTTTTAACCACGTTTCAAACATTCATATAAGCTTCATTAAAAGTAAAAACAATCATGTTTTCATGATAAATATTATTTTAACTGGTCAGCTGGGACAATTTATTACCACACTATACAGTAGAATCTTCAGTCGAATAATAGTCTATCATGTAAAAAATCATTTATACATACATACTAACAGAAAATTTTAATCAAGTCTCTACATGAACTGACAAAGTAGGAAATCTGGGCAACTGGATGTTCAGTCAGATGCTCAAGAGTAACGTGCTTGCCATGGAACCTGTAGGTCCTGGGTCCGATCCCTGGGGGCAAGGTTGATGGATGTGCATTGCTGAGAAGTCCCATGGTACGATGAAACAGGTGTTCAGTACTCCCAGGTTCTCAATGGTTCTCCAAATGATGTCAGACCATGATGAACACCAAACTGAAATCCTTACGATCCTTAGTCACTAGTAACCGCCATATGAAGTTATTCATAGAGAATTCCATATATCAAAAAAGGCTAATTAGTTTTGTCTAAAACAGTCAGAAACAAGACTTAACATGAATATTATATTCTTCATTTTCCAGAGACTAAGTTCAGTATATTTTTATCTACAATGTAGAAAAACGGACAAATTTTCATTGAAATTCACTCATATAATGCATTCATCTTGGAGCTTTTTACTTGAGTGAATTTAAAGATCACCCTAGTAACCACTGAACTAACCAATCAGGTTTCAGTATTTCCTTTAAAAGTTGGTTTACTCATAAAATAAAGAACGGAAATTGGTTCTCTCAGTAGTTGTTAGGATGGCCCACAAAGTTACTCATTTACTGCTACCTATATCTAAAACAATCCGAAATAATTTATAGTCACACAACTTTGTTCTACTCCAACGTACGAGCTTCAACTAATCGAATGCACGATGAAAAATTCTCGTTAGTATTCACTCCACAATCTGTTTACACGTTTATATTTATATACATAAAAGAATAAGAACTTCAGTAAACAAACATGTCTTCGGTGATATCATCCTCTTCAACCGTGTAATTGCACTGAAGTATAGTTAGTGTACATACGAATTTCAATGTTCGTTAATCAATAATTGTTGGTATTTCGTAGCCATGAAAATAATATAAGAATGGAAATTATATAAGAGAAGGGAATCGGGAAGTTGAGAAATTAAGAAGTGTATAAGGATAAAGAATGGAGAAGTTACATTTAGATATATAATTCCTTTTTTGACTATTGTATCGCCTAATTTTCAGAGGTACAAAAGTAAACGTTTTCTCATAATCTAGAGAAGATTACGTTGTATCTTGTTCACTAGTGTAAATGAATTTTCTGGAACTATATGTCCACTGTCAGCTAAATGTCATAGTCTTGAGCTGTTAACTGATACATGTTCAACCTCTACTAAGTCACACTTCAAATTTTGAGCATTGACGCTGGACAATCTGCCTCCGCTTACGGCCTATGTAACCTTGCTCCACAGTAGTATATGAATTTATATATGCACGATGAAGCAGCTGAACCTCGAAAGTTTTCTCTTCGCACACTAAGTAGTATAAGTGGTTTGCAGAGTGACTGAATACCTAGTACTTATAGTTACATACTGATATACTAAAGTTTCAGGCAAGTAGTTATAAACTACAAGTTTGCAGATCAGTTGATAAGTTGAACTGAAAGACTCTCTTTTCTTATAAATCACGAATGGAAAGTTTGAGCATCTTTAGTAAATCTTTTGCCGAACTCTACAACTGACAGTATTACTGATACAATTACTGCCATTCAAGTGATATCAAACCAACAGAAATTATAAAACAGATTTCAGTGAAGAAAATTTCCTTCTCGCGACGAAATCACTTTCAAAAGCTGTACAATCATATGTACACGTTGAGTTAGACAATAATGAATTTAACTTAGGGGTCTATGAGGATTAATTAACTTCGAAGTGGCATCTATTATGGACTGACATCAGGTGGAGGAATAATGGAAACCCACCGTCCAGTTCTCCTAAATATCCAATGTTCCTCCAACTGATGTCAGTCCATTATGAATACCAACTAGAAATAATTAAATTGCAATAGGATGAGTGGGGAAAAACAGTAATGATGGACATGTTCTAGCAGTAGAATCTAGGAGGCGCATTCCGTCCTGTTCTGGACTCGTCAGCTGGACGCACCCTCCTCCCAGCGAACGATGTTGTCCCTCCCACGGATCGAACAGAGGTTTGATCGCTTCAAACACCACAACATTATCCATAAGGCCACCGAGTCACAATCGCCACCCATCGTTAATAGAAGTGAATTATTCTTTATTATTACCTTTCCTCTAAGTTCCCAGTGGGGCATACGGCTTCAGTTGCATGTCGCCATCGCACTATCTTCTCTGCAGTCTATTCAGTCTGGCTCAACCACTGCCCACAAGCTTTCATTTCCTCCTCACACGATCAACTCCATGTCACCCCCGCCTCAGACACCCAACTCGTCGTCTCCCATTTAGGTTCCACTCAAGGGCCTGACCTGGCGACAGATGATCCCAATCGGTTTTCTCAGTATATACCCAATCCATCTCCACTTTCTTCTGTATATTTGTTCGTCAAAGGATTCTTGGTTGGTTCGTTAACAAAGTAACTTCCTTGTTGCTTGTTCTTTCTGCCCATCCATATGATCTCCAGTATCGCGCGTAGGCGGCAGCTGCTGATGTATGTCTGAAGTTTGTTCGAAATGCTTCTCTTGACACGCCAAGTCTCTGAACCATCACACAGAAGCACTGACTTCACTGGCTTAGTGCTCAGAATTTGAATCTTGCTCACGCTTTATGCTGAGTGGAGTTCAGCGCAGTAAGTCCACACACTGATTTCAGATTAATGAACACCTGTCTTGATTAACGATCCTCACTTTCACATCCTCAAGTGTGTCTGAGCCACCACCTATAGTTGAAACGAGGCTGCTTTGTCTAGGTAGATAACTGAAAGAGACGACTTCATTTAGATTTCTCCAGTTCATGGTGATTCGTCCTTGTCGTTGTTGGTTTGGAATATAAATCACCTCTCTCTTCTCTACGTTCGCCTGAAGGAAGTCCAGTCTTCCTTCGCTGACTCGCCTCTTCTGTCAACTTGTTCATTTTTGCCTGTACAGCTTCCAGCCTATGCGACAACACATTAGACATAATTCACCATCGTTGGCAAAATCCAAATCTTCTTCTCAGGTATTTTCATCGGTCCAGCCACATCATATCCCCATCTCCTCACACCTACTCACAGTTCCTTGCATCATCCAGTCCACACCAGTCAACCACAATCACGAAGATCATCAGTGATAGTAGGCGGCAACCCTGTCTCACCCTCATCTTCACTTCAAAGTAATCACTCAGCTCAGCCTTCCATTGTGAATCACTTCACATGTAGCACCATCATCACCATCATCACACAGCTGTTGAATGAGGTTGATAAAGATTTGTGGCACTAAAACCATAGTGTTGAAGCAGTTGCCTGCCAAATTACTTCTCAGTCGATGCCTCGATCGAAGGATTTTTCAGAGTGGATGAAGTTGAGGTAAGCTGGAGAGTTGACTGCCATTCTATACTCTCTTCCATGATGATGCGTAGCATAGCATTGCATGCCATTTGATCCGCACACGATTTGTTCTTCTTGAAACCAGCCAGCCAGCCAACCTGACAGCCAGACAGGCAGCCAGCCAGCCTGTTCCGGTAATAATGTTGAATCCGAAGCATTCTTTCAGTCTCTCCAGGATGATCCAGATCAATATTTTGATCGGTGTGGACAGCAGCATGATTCCACGACAGTTCTTGCAAACACTTCGGTCACCCTTCCTTGCCAGCTTGACAAGGTAACCCTCCTTCCACTCGACAGCCACCTTCACTTTCTTCCTTCCTTCAAAACCCACTACGATACTGGTGTCAGCATGTCCGCTGCTCATGTCTCTGTGTCTGTTTTCAGTGCCTCTGGGAGGATTACATACGGTCCTGCTGCTTTCTCGGACTTAAGCGACTTTATGATGTTCAGGACTTTACTTCTCC